AAAATCGTTGTAATCTTTCCAACTCATCAAGGAATTGTTTCTAAAAGCAATAAAGTGTATGTTTAGGCAAATTATCTATAAAAACAAGAGCTCTATTAGCTAAGTACCTTTTTTATACTATCCATAAATTTATTTTCAATAAGTTTTCTAATATCATCAAATATCTCATATTCATACCGACTACAAGTTGAACAAAGTCCACCTAGATCTTCTTGGTATATATATTTATTTCCTTGTAATTTTATCATAAAGTTTGTACGATGAATTCCATTAGGAAATTTAGCTTAAAATTTTTTCCAAAGTGCTTGTTTAGTATCACGAAAATATTTGACTGGTGCATCAGTTTTACTATCTGTTTTGTATGAGCTCATAATTACATGCGTCTTGTCATTAATAAATTTCTCAAATTCTTGCTATTTTTCATTAGGCAACCTTTCTCGTGTAAAAAAAGGTTGTTTCATTGGAGAAACACCAGGTTCATTAAGATGGCAGTGAATACGTGCTTTTGATATCAAATCATTTGAAACCTAATAAAGAATAATTTAGCAAAATATTTGAGAATCAAAAAATCAACTTTATTAGTACATACTGATAATTGCTTCTGAAGATCTTTATATTTGAAATCATTCGCTATTATGGATAATATTCTTTGTTTTCTGTCATTTCCATTTTTATTGATTGTTAGACTTTTTTGAAAGCAATTCCAAAATGTATTAGATGCATCATAAAAGTTTATTGGTTGTGACATTAAAAAGCCAAGTTCGTATAGCTGTTTCAATGCATTTTTTTCAATATTAGAATTCAATGATCTCGTTCAAAGTTCATACTGTAATAAATTATATAATTAGAAAATTTTTTTTAAAAAAAATAAATTATTATTTTATTTTTACCTTTGAATCTTGTTTTGAAAATGGTGTTATATTACGACATCCTATATTGCGAAGCATTATTCTCCATGCATTTAGTTTACGTTCATTGAATTTATAATCTATAGGATATAATTGTTTTAGATTATTATGTAATTCAATTATTGTTCCCTGTTCCTACCACAATCTTAAAAGCTTACGCCAATCAATATTACTAATAGTTCTCCACTTGAGATGGTAAGAAAAAACTTTTTCCATAAGTACATCATTATCCCAATCACTCAACGAACAAGAAGGAATTTTTATAGTTTGAATCAATTGTTGTGTTATAGTATTATCAATTCCAAATAGCGTTCTTCTAGTAAATATTTTTAATTTGGCAATTTTTGTTTCTTGTTCACCAAAAATACTTTTTCACACAAGATTAGGCATGCTTTCACAATATATTTTTTTAACTTTAGTTTTATATATTATAGTTACGTTACATGCATCATCATTGAATTCTTGAAGGAATACACAACGTTTCTTTGCCAGTTGAAATAAAAAACTCGATTTAAATCCAACTTCAGCATATCCCCATTGATCATTTTCAGATTTTGCAATTCCAAACACAAAAACACGTATCAGCCCACGATTTATAAAATATGAACGAAATAAAACTCCTTCCAATAATTTTTCATAAATAGCTGGCTTGTTAAACCCATTATCATAGGACCTGAAAATCTTGTTTTAGTACGAAATATTCGTTGATAAACTGTAGATATCGCCTTAGTACTAGAATTACTTGGCTCAATAGTATAAAAAGATTCACAAGTGCAAAGGTATTCTGGTTGTTCAGAATGTTCTTTATTACCCTTCACAACTGTTAAAATAAAATCATGTCTATTTAAAAAGGCTATTACTTTCATATGCAAACGAATAGGAACCAGAAATTCTATTTCTTGGTTGCAAACTATTTACCATTCGTGCGAAAAAGGTCTAAAGTGTAATTCTGAATCAATTGTTCCTACTGAAACTAAGGAAACATTATAATTTTTTTCTTTTATCATATTTAGGTAGTAGTAATGAGTAACATGAAAGAATTTACATAATGTATTGGGTAACGCAAAAGAGATTCCAACGTTTTTTCGTTTATTATATAAAATGATATATGTCTTTATCCCCGATCGACATTAATTAAAATTGATGATTTTCTCTGATTGTTACACAGATTACGAATTAATTGTTATTGGCATTCTAATAGGTAAGCGGAACAGTATAAAAGTTATTATACATATTAGGTTTGCAAGAATCATAAACTCAAATATTTTGTCTCTCTCAATGATAAATAGTATAGTATAATTTTTTTGATATATTATTTGAAATTAATATTAAACTAAAATGATTATATCAAATAGTGTAATTTTTAGTATCAAACAGGCTAATTTCTGGCTAAATTTAATACCAATATCTTTGATAGTTAGATTTAAGCCAAATCGTGTAGGAGACTTAAATTTAATAGTTGATTTATATAGCTAGAATTGATTTGTGGATAGTTAGAAAACTTTTTGTATACTATTTGAAAATTTTGTCCTAAAAGCCCATTTTGTTCTTACTAACTTGAAAAAATATTAAAAAAGAATAAAAAGCAATTCTGAAATATTTATTTGAAATTTTAGTTGATAGCATGTTAAAATAGATATATATAGTAATTGTGGCAGAAAGAGATACAACTAAGTATTTAAAGCTTATCTAACTTATCTAACTTTAAATAAAATATTAATTGACTTGTAATAGTTTATACATTAAAGTTTTACATTTTATATTAAGTAAAAAATCATTCAAAAACTTTTGGATACTTTCTATATTCAAATTTATTATTTTAATTTAATTTTATAGTTAATAATGTAATTATTATAATTTATTATAATTTATTATTTAAATTGTTTAAACGATATAATTTGTGATATATTTAATATTCATTATATTATTTATAAATAATTGATATATATATAAAAACAATTTTAAGCATTACAAAAAAATATTGGCAAAAATATTATAAATGCATATCAAAAAAATGAGATTTTTAGCAAAGTATCTACAGAGTTTTAAAATAAGTGATTCTAGATTAACAAAGAATTTTGAATTGACTATTTTTTTATTTTAGTAGACAAATCTCTACGAAATAAATCTATTTTTGATAAGATATTGTATGGTAAGTTGATCTAAATAATTAAGATTATATTTATTTATTATTAATATTGTAAATGAAAGAATTTTGAATATTCTCTGTGATATAATTAATTAATGTGTGAGAAAAACAAAAGAAAGTTTGAATAGGTGGATTTTAATAAACTTAATGTAGCGCCAATGAGATTCTTATAAGAACTACCTACCATCAAAGGGTCTTATTTAACAATCACGAGGTAAAGAAGAAAGAAAACATTGAGATTGTAATTAAAAAAGTTGAATGGTAGAAATATGTTTGGATATGAATGCATTGTTAAATTGATGGAGGAGAACACAAGACAAAGATTTGATTTGTAATGAACAGAGATCATTCAAATTATAAAATTGTTTGAAGTTCAAAAGGACAGTGGGAAGAGTGATTGTGCATTTGTTATTTCTTTTAAAAAGGAAATGTATTGGAGCAAAAACTTTATCACACTCAGTTTTTGATAATAGAATGAGTTGAATTCGATATTCTATAAGAAAGAGGCAAATGGTTATTTTTCTTTTGTATTTTAGTAGAATCTGATTCCTTTTTCTTGTTATAGACTTAATTCATACAAAATTAAAAGGTAATACAGACATTCAACGGAATGTCACATACATATTTTTTATTAAATATGTAATATTAGTGCAGATACGAATTCACAATTATTTATAGCCGGTTTTTGTCTTAGCAAATTTGTATCCAGATTTAAATCCAAACCGGGGAATGTTCCGTCGCACCAACAAATAACGTTATTGTTGATTAAATACGGATATAAAGTCGAAGGCCAAAATCGTCCTATCAAAATTATATAAATAATTTCTTAATCAGTACATTTTTTTGTACAATTTTTTTTATGCGTATTCGGCTTCGGCCGACAGAAATTTTGGGGTAAACTGATTGACACAATATTGTCATTTATTGTATTAGCCGACAGTTCCAATCAGAAACATGATAAATGTATGAGAAAAAATTTTTTTCTATCGTAAAAAAAAAATTTAAAGAAACATATATTACTTGAGCTAGGTATAAAGAAAATTTTTTCTTATTCCTGAAATGGACAACACACCTGATACGCGTGTGAGTATTTCCGAACCCGATATAGTACAAGAAGATGAAGTCAAATCACTTGACGAAATAGATACTAGCTATGATTTGGTAGCAATATCACCAAGTGCAAAATATATTGTTCGGTATAGTCATAATGACAAACAAATTGTCGGATGGAATATTCAAGACAACAAAGAAGGAAAATTAGATGATACAGTTAAACCATATTGCGTTGAAAATAAGATTAACAAGTTGTGTGTCTCTGACGAAAAAATTGTTGCGATTGATGATGGTGACAGTTTTAGTAAGTAATTATATTCATATGCTTTGTTTATAAATATATAATGACAATTTTTTTTCTTTAGAAATAATTGATATGAATAATCAGGATCGAATAATAAAATTAGATTTAGTGCTTGATAGGATATTATCATTTAACTTTAATTCGAAAGGGGAGTTCATCATAACATTTTGTAAAAAGCATACAGAAGATTATTATATTTTGTTTTATTCGGTACAAACTAAAGATAACAAATGGAAGTGTCAAAAGATTTATAAATACCCTACAAAAAATGCGGAGTTAATAAGTATATCAATATATGATAAAATTTGGATACGTATGGGGAACCACATAAATGAATGTAATATTGACACTGGTAGAACTAAAATTATTTACAAAAATTTATTCGGGGTAATTATAATTTTACAAAATAAATAATTTTATTAAAAATACAAATTAATATTTTTTATACCTTAAAATTATATCAAACTTTAAAAGATTAAAACCGAAGATATTAGAATTTCTAGTAGTAATGAGTTTACTTTTTTAAAAATAAATGATGAAATTATTGTTTATTCAGATGAATATGAAATTCCTATTGCGTTATTAGATTCAAATGATGGTACGTTCATTTCAAATTAATACAAAGATGCATATTTTATTATTTACATCAGATCATTTCGATTTTAGGCATACGACTATATGAATTTATGAAACAACATATTGGCTTACATTCTTTGTTACTCTCTTTATTTGATTATAAGTCGAATAATAAAACTTGGATTTCTTGCTTAAATCAAATAACGAAAGATTCGTTATTAAGGACCAATAAAACTTTATTAGATCAACTAACGAAAGATAATTCTCTAATAAAGAAGGATTTACCACTTTTATTTTTTCAGAACCATCTATTTGTAATCGTAAATGATTCCGTTCTGAAAATTGAAATTAAATTGGATTTAGATATTAATTCTTTATCAGAGGAATTAAAAATTTATGAAGATGTAGAAAATTGGATGGCATATTTCGGAAGCGAAAAGGTTGAAGAAGAAAGTATTATCGACCATTTTGAATATGTAAATCCGTTTATTCCAAATATTAAGGTTGATCTAACTGACTTTTTTAGTTATTTAAGTAAACAATCTAAATCAAAGAATATTAAAGTAAAGGTTGATACAAGAAATGAAATTATCGGATTATGTGTTTATAAAAAGTGTGATGATGAATTGGATTGGAATTTAGTTGCAGAATATTTTCAAAAGATTAAATATGAAAAAGAAGACTTAGCTATAAATGAAGTCGAGATATTTGAAAATAATGATATAGCCATATTAACTAATATTGGCATTTTTATTTTCAAGTTAAAAGACGATGAAATTTCATTAAAATATTTTCATTATATACACTATCCAAAGGAAAATGTTATCAAAAACATTCTCGGAATATCAGAATCGTATGATGATAAGAAAATATTAAAGGGATGGGTCTCATACTTAAACAGTGATAAAATGGGTTTTTTAAAAAATGGTTCTGAATTATTAAAATTAGCAATTCATGTGCATGACTTAAAATTAATATCTGATATTCATAAGAAATGTTTAAATTATTTTAAACAAGATTTAGAAAACAATAAGAATTTTTTGAGTATATTTACTATGTCAATGCCATTATTGAAGAAATATTATCCCGAATATCTTACAAGATATACATTAGATACAAACATGATAATAGATTCTTTGGATTATAAAGTAGAACAAATGGATCATATATATATCTGTCCTTTTTCTATGAATATTGAAGTTATAAATTTAACGCGATCTATCTGGTGGACAAAATATACTGAGAAATTGAGAAATTCATTTTATATAATGGCGATTCAGACAATAATCATGATTCATACATTTCCTATTACTTTTTCGATCTTTCTGATTTTAGATCATTTTTATATTATTAATCATATTTATTACGATGGCTTTACTCATTTATATTATAGTCTGGTCAAATCAAAATTTTCTAAAGGATCCAAACTCTCAATTACATTTATGATTCCTTATATAAAATTTGCTAGCTATCCACAATATTATAGTTGGTGGAGTGAATTAATAATACCTCAACCTAGTCCATTTGTAGAATCCATATCTAAAGATATATATAAATCGTTGAATGGAGAAGCTTTAATTAATTTCAAGTGGAACTCATATGGAAAATATTATTATGCAATTATATGGATGGGATTTATTGCTTTGCTAGGTTGCTTTACTGTTGCTGCAACAGTTTCCGAAGAACTTATATCTCAAGATATCAGAAAACAGCTATTACTCGCCTCAACGATTCTTGGATTTATTCATTTAACTTTTGAAATTCGTCAATTTATTTATAATCCCTTTAAATGGATTCGCGATTTTTGGAATATTTTTGGTATGTCAAACGCAGCGTCTAATTATTCCAAGGATATATAATTAACCCTTGTTTATTATAGATATATCAGCATATTTCCTTACAATCGTTGCTTCTATTTATTGGTACCAAACAGAAGATAGAAATCTTCCATTGCTTTCTATCACGTGCTTATTTTTAGATTTTAAATTTTTACTATTTTTTAGAGTATTTGAATCCTATGGTGTCTATTTTGCGATTATTATTAGTGTTGCAAAACGAATAATCTCCTTCTTGGTGGTCTTAGGATTCATTTTAATTAGCTTTGCACATGCATTTTACATCTTATTATCTTTAGAGGATCCTTGGGAAATTACAACGATTTATTCTAATCCTGATCAAAAAGGATTAACTGATCCTAAGCCATTCATAATTCAAGCCCCTGATAAAAATACAAACATGTTCAGTGATTATGGTACCTCGCTTTTTGCGATATATTTATTTTTAACAGGTATGTTCAAAGCATTTTATTAGAATTAATATTTAATAAACAATAGCTGATCCAATTCATTATAGGTGATGCAAGTGCTTTAACCCCATGGCCATATAAAGATAATAAAACGCTCGTCATATTGATGGTTGCATTCTCTTTCATCGTTGTCGTATATCTCATGAATTTGTTTATTGGGTTACTTAATATTGAGATTGAAAAAGATAACAATAGAGTCTCGTATTTGTTACAAAAAGCGAAGGTAGGGTATATATTAAGAAAGTATCTTATTTCTGATCTTGATTTGTTTAACTTATATATATTTTTCTTTTAAAATATAGATTTTAGCCGAAATTGAGTTATTTTATTTACTTCCACATCAAAGACGATGGAAATCCTGGTTTCCTGATGAAATGTATGTTTCTTTTATTCATTGTCTTCAATTTTAATTGCAATATCATACATACAATTTATACTAATGCATCCAAATTTTTATTAGCCATTATCGTGCTGATGTCGATGAAGTGCGTAGCAGGGTTTATCAACTTATTAAGGATAATGAATGGGGATCTGATGAATTTCCAGAGATGAATGAAAATCTATTAAAAATACTAAATATTCAGAAATAAGTTTTAAAACATCGAGCGCAATGTTAATTTTAAATTAGCTTTTTCTTATTACTTTTTTATTTTTAATTTTAGTTTATGTTTCTCTTTCGAGTATATTTCATCTATCATTTGTTGAACAATTGTATTGATAGAATTTAGTAATAAATATTTTTAAAAATAAAATTGCTATTTTTGTTGTATTTTTTAAAGGCAATTTCTATTTGTACAGAACACGGATCACGTGATATATATATGTATAAATTTTTATTTCGAAAAATAAATTTTACACTTAACAATAGATAGAAACCTTATACATAACATAACATAAACCTTACCATAACTCATTGGGGTTGAATAATAAATAACCTAACCCTAACCCTAACGGGTCAGTCATCGGTATCAACAATTTATTAATTTTATAAACACGTGACACCGTGTTCAAACACCCCGTGTAAACTTAGAAATAATATTTAGGAAGGAAATATATCCAGGACAATATATAGATTAAAATTAATTCTTTATTTTATTTTCCGCAATTCGATACGAAATTTGTGGAATAATACAAATCCAAATCTCCCAAGCGACGAATTTTAGGTAACAGCAATATTGTTTCAAAAAATATATTTAAAACAAATTGAAATAGTAAAGATCATATTTATAGCAATAGAGCAAATCATATAAGATAATTAAAAGTTACAAGTTATAGCTCTCTTTGGTAATAGATTACAATAAAAATTTTGGACATGGATGATCACATACTCGGGCAACGTTCAAAACCATTCGGGATATCAGGATTCGGGAAATTGGATGTTCGGGAAAATGGCATTCGGGTAATTGGATATTTCAGGTCCAGTACGGGAAATTGTCGTTCGGGAAATATGACTTTGGGAAAAGGTATATTCGGGAAATTAGCTTTCGGGCAATCGTGGTATAACCCATTGCTCGATTAAAATAGCGAATAAGGCATTTATGTATATATATATTTATTTTTCTTTTTTTGTCTTGACATGCATAGATTTTCTATATTTAAGTAGTTTTTTTAAAAGGTTCCTATTAGGAAGATTAATTACATGAAACCCTTCAAGTGTACTAAATTGGATCTCGGATAAAAAAGTTTATTTGAAATATGGTAATCGAAATTTGATTGTTAAATCACGCTTGGCTAAAAATTATCTTGGCCTTTTCTAAAAATTGACCAACCACAAATGGAATAAATCGTAACAAAAACTTGGCAATATAAAGAGAACGTAAAATAATAAAAAAAATAGATCAAATTATTTTTTACAATACTTACTTCAAATCCTAGTCAGAATTAACGAAAATAACAACCGCAAAAAGCACTTTGAATGATACTGAACTATCATTAACGGAATTAACTTCAACAGTTTATACTAATGGAAAGTTTCTTCTCAACAACAACATAATGAGAGTAGATATCAACGAGAATTACAAAATAATCAAGTAATTTCGAATAATGACCTTAATAAACAAAGCGTACCATCAGCTATAAATAATAAAGGTAATACGATTGTTCAAAAAAAAAAAATCTTTAAATGAACGCCAATCAATTGATAAATTATGTTACATTATTAGATCGTTCGCCGCGTATCCGCGACAATATATTTTGTTGTACCCCAAAAAATTTAATGATTTTTTCTGTAATTTATTTGACTTTAGGACTTATAAATATGGTAACTATAATATTTATTTATTAATAAATGAATTATAAATTAGTCATTAACGTTCGTATAATTATCCAGTTTGTGCGATTAGCGAATTACAAATTATGTCACGATTTCCATAACAAATTTAGATTCCACAATCCAAATACCATATCTTTTGATCCAAGCACAATTTCAACCTTGAATGTTGAAGGAATTGGTTATTTTTATGTGAGTAGGAATCAAATTAAATTCTAAAGAATTTCAGAACGCTAATATAAAAAATTTTTTTCTTATAGAGACAGGATGGTCATGAACTTTTTAATAACGCAAGTAAACGACACAAAGTTCTGATGGTCAATTTGAGACCCAGCACTACACCTAACGCTTACAACATAAAATTTATAAGCATAATAATATTTATATTATTTCTTTTATTAATAATTCTATTGCAAAAAAAAATAAGATGAATATTTATTAGTTTTTTTTTAAGAAAAGAGATGACATTTTTGTAACCTGGGGTACTTGGTTATCAGGCATGAGTATTCCACCTAGATGTGTTATGATCAGGGTTGAAGTAATCTTACCTCAAAACTAACGATTTTATCAACAATAAATATTAATAAAAATATTTTTGAAATTTCTACAAAATACAATAAGCTCACTTTCATACCCCTACTCAATAAATTTTAAAACTACAAATGGCGAATAACAAGCGCAACGATCCAAACGACTAGTGGAAATATAAAAGTTTCAATTGCGTCAGTGCGAAACGAATTATTTATCGAGTCAACAAGTGGTAACATTGACTTTAGCGTTAATGATTGCTAATATGGTAGGCGGAAATAGTTCAAGAATTGGACTGAAAAGCACCAATGGAAACATTGTTTCAAATGGCATCGTTTTAGCCTTTAGTTGATGTTTTTGCATCAAGTGGAAATATTGACGCGAATATTATATTGGCTAGTGGAATTACTGATAGTCAAATTACTATCAATTCCACAATTGATTTAAATTTGGTAAGATTTTCGTTTTAATTTTAAATTTTAATCTTCATTAAATTTAGCATAATTCATTCGAAGGACCATATGAAATTAAAACTACATCAGGTAACATCGATCTCAGTATTGGAAATGATAAAGATCACGAATTATGAAGAATTGGTTCATTGAATTCAAACGGATTTCTGATTATCGAGTCCGCAAGCGGAGATGTTGAAGTTAAATTTTAAAAAAAGTATATGCATTGTAAGTCGCACTCACATTTTCAATTTGTTTTTAAATATATATAGTAAATTAGTACGCATTATAAATAAATTACTTTATAAAGAATCAATATTCGTTAAAGTCGAAGTCTTGGCACAGTATTTAAATAAATGTCATCATCGTACAGACACATTTTTTACAAGTCGAATTTAAGAAATTTCTAATCATTTAAAATTCTTTTTTATGGTTAGGTTCAAAAAAATATGGCACGAATAGAGTTGGAAAATCATTTATCCCTCATTTGTTTGCTTCTAACGATTATCCAGTGAAAAATCTATTGTTCTGGAATTTATCCGTTTTAGACTAAAATCAAAACCATAATTTTTTTAAAATGTAATTAAAATGAATTAAATTTAATTCGAAAAAAGAATAAAAAGAACCCTTTAATTGTTCATCCTCGGGGAGAATGGTATGTATTTATTTATTTTAATAAATGAAACTTCTAAATTGATGATGATCGGTGCAACCAAAAAAGCGTGCTTGCATGTGTGCATAACATAACCCTTTGCGTGACGAACTTATAAATAATTTATAGAATAAAATTTCTTTAAATATAAAAATATTTTTAAAAAAAATTCTCTAAATTAGGAATAGCAAATTTAAAATTATTTAGATAGGTAGTAGCAATAATGCAACAACTCGTACATTTTCATTTAGGAAAAAAATTTATATAAATTGAATTTTTTTTTTTTTTTTTTTTTTTGAATTTAAAATAAAAACGGATACTAATCGGCGCAGTAAATAAACCGTATTTTCCTCGACCATAAAATTTATTAAGAATGTCATTTAATAAATTTATTGATTTTTCAGCACATGTCGACACTTCTACTATTAAAAAGTTTGAAGAAAAAGATAAAGAAATTGAACGAAATATCTCGGAACAAGGAGATACTACTGTAGACATAAATAATGAATCAAGTAATTTATACTTAGACGATGATGAAACGTCTAAAAACAACATGAATAGCGATTATCGTATTAACCACTCCAAAGAAGCTAGCGACTTATCCTCAAATAGTGATACAAGATGTATTATTCTTTGATTTTGTAATTTGTAATAATTGTAACTTTTAGCTGACCATTCCTTTGACCTTCATTTGAATACAGTTCAACGTAAAAAAGCTTGTTGTTGTCTGACGAGAATTGTATTGATATGGGTCACCGTTATTTTATTAATGTTCGGGTTAATTTATGCGGTAAGGTTATAATATATATATTAATTGGTTTTTTTTTTTTAAATACTTCATTTTTTTTTAAAAAAAATAATTTTTAGATAGTAATCGTAGTCTGTATTCAAAATTGTGATCATTTGTCAAAGCATATTGATTCAATAGAACCAGAAATAATTTCATATGATCCAAATCTTTATACCAACTTTACTATTGAAGATTTTAACAATGTCAAGGTAACTATTAAAAAAAATGATACGCGCGTCCTTTTGAAATTTAATACTTATTTATAGACATTCTTTTTAGGAAGGCGAAATTGTTGTGTCACAAAGCGTCGTGCCTAATGATAATAATGCTACATTATCCATTCGACTTGCAACTTTAACGTATACAAAAGCTTATATGAAATCAGAATTTCAAGATTCCACTTTTATATTACAGATCGTAAGCATTCGTTTATCTTCGTTCCTTCTTTTCAAGTTAAATAATGTATTAATTGTAATAATTTTCGAATCTTTCAGTTACGAGAATCATTTCCAAATTCAAAAAAACTAGCATGGTTGGGATATTTGTCAATTCCACCGAAATGTGTCGTGGCAAGATTAGAATTAACATTACCACAATTTACAAAGAACGCAACCACGCTAATTAATTCCAACAGATTTAAAACGAATTTTACGCAAAATTTGGTTCCATATACAAGTCCGATTCATTTAGAAACTTCAGATGGTGATATTTCATTTGAAAACAATTTATTAGCGAATCAATTATCAATTGTGACTCAAGGTGGAAATATTAATGGAAATTTAATTCAATCAAAGCAAAATGATATTAATATTGAAACCCATAATGGTAAAATTACTATAAATTTGGACATTAAAGGTGATAAAAATTTAGTGAATCAAGGACAATCTAATGTCAAAGTTACGACTTCAAAAGGAGATATTAATTTAGGCATAAGCATTGAAAAAGATATTAAAAGTCCCAATGTTGAAATAAATTCGATTCATTCTGATATCTCGGTTGGATTTGTACGTATTTTCATTATTCCTTTCTTTTTCTTTTTACACGATGCAATTTTACTGATTTAAAAAATTATTTTCTATTTTATAGAATAATTCATTTAATGGACATTATGAAATAAAATCTGCTGGCAAAATTAAAGTAGTAAACAATCTTGAAATCACGAGTAAAACAAATGGTGAAATAGGTGATTTTAATAATGAAGAATTAAGTGGCGTTGTAAATATTCGATCCAAAAATGGTGATGTTGACGCGAAGTTTTAGAATTCCTTTGTAAATTTTTCGTTCACACTTTACTTCCTTATCACATATATTACCTTACTTAAAGAACATTATAAATTAATAATAATAATCTAAATTATCGCGTGAATTAAAATTCACGTTGACTCTCCTTCGTATTTGTAAATAATACGATCCATTAGCTGTTAAATATCGCAAAGTAGTAAGTTACCATAAACGTTGATTAGACAGCAACATTTCGAGAGAAAGACACTTTAAATTGCCGTTATAGCGTCATTTGAGACATATATGATGCAACATTTGTATAACGTTTAACGTTTGGTTTCAGTTCCTGAAACCATGATATCAAAACGTTCTGAGATATTTAGAATGATTTAGGCGTAAAAATCTTTTAATAAATACAATGATTTTGTTGCTTGTCTTTTTTTTTTTTTTTAATTTTTTTTTTTTTTACGATACCATAAAATACAAAGATTATACAATAATTTACATCACTTTTTGGACGTAAAACCGAAAAGTTTTTATGTAGGATTTATATTTATTAGCCTCCGAAACAAAACCCTCGATTAAAGCATCGTAATGTTGATCGTTTAAACCCATTACTGGTTGCAAATTATCTCGAAGTGCTGCCAATTCTATGACAAAAACTTCAAGTGACTGTCATTTGTAAAAACGAGACATTATAAAAAAAAATTATTAAGATAAACTAAAATAAAGAAAAAATTTAAAAAAGTTGGCAGAATGATACTTACCACCGAACCCAAACTTCCGCCCCAACCTCCAAGTGGAACCGATTTTTTTTCACAACGAACGTCCATTAACTGATCATTTGATCGCATAAGTTCCGGAAGATGTTTGCTGATATTCGGAATTAATCCTTGCGATAAGAAAAATGAAGTCATTCCAGCATTTAATCGCTTTATTATTGGACCCTCGTTATGAAGAACGTAATCATATTCTAGAAATTCTATCCATCCTCCAGGTTTCGTTACTCTCACGATTTCTAATAATACGTCCTGCCATTGTGATGCCGTAAATGATGTGGATAAAAGTGATTGATGCACGTAATCAAAGGTATCATCAGGAAAAGGTAGTTCATTAAGAATGTTATATTGTACAAACGAAGCATTTCTAGGTTTGACGTGTTGTGGAAACACAGGGGATATGTCTAGTCCAATAAATATTGTTGATTTATATTCGGTCGCTAAGTCCAATATCCATGATCCCGTACCGCAACTTATGAAACGAACGAACGAGCAAAGGAAATTAGATAATTGTAAAAAACATGATTTTAAACCAAAGGTTCAATAAAAAATATACACACCCAATGTCGAGAACACGGCCACCGCCAGCGGATAAAATGGGAGTTATGGGAGAAGCATAACAGGTTCTCCAATACTCTTTAAGTAAATAATATTGTAATTCTAATTTTTCAATTCCTTCTTCATCATTAGGGAAAATATATTTAATAGTCTCATCCATATGAAATCTTCTACCATTAATATATCTATAAGGAGTGATTGATTCATCAAAAGGAATTTCATCTATCCATTTTTCATTACATTTTATTGCTTTAGAAGCACATGCGCCCATATTTGCATCAGAAATAAAAAATTTTTTTTTCCTTTTTTTTTTTTTTTTTTAAAAGAATATATATATATAAAATTTTGGGGGAAAAATGAAAATCATTTTATACAATCTTATTTATTATTTTATGCAACATCTGCATCTGTACGGTGTATAATTTCCGTTAGCAAAGAAGAGAGATTTGCTTAAATGGAAACGATATTCAAGATAACACGTTTTTATTTGATCCACAAGTGCCGCGTTTTTTGTGTTATTCCCAAGATCTATCCAGTTATTTCTGTTGAACCATGATTTTCTGGTAATCTTCATGGAGAATTCGGAATAATTTTCGGAATTACCCCGTTCCCGACCTGAAAATGATTTTATGAAGATAGGTTTTGGTTTAATTGAATCTTTTGATTGCATTCCAAAAACGATTTATAAATGGAAATCAAAACAAAAAAAAAAACTTGATTCCTGCACGTTTGTTTGTTTCATCTATTTCTGTAAAACGTTTATGGTAATATTTTTTTTTTATTTAAAATTTTCCAATTATATGTCAAAGAAAAAAAAAAATAAAGATATTTTAATGCTCATTCGTTAACGTTTTTAGAAATTGATTCAATTTCAAATAAATGCTTCAATTAAAATTAAAATTTGCTATTTAAGATTGCATTTCTCCTATTTAATAATAAATCAAATGTTTTACAAAGGAAAAAAACAAAAAAAAACGAAAGTTAATTTTGTGACAAAAAACTTGATTTAAAATTTCTGTTTGTTCCTTTTTTTTTCATTGGACGTTAAATTGAACCGAAAATGACATAACAATAACAATAATTATAATAATCAAGGATAGGTTCTTAAAAATAAATTTAAATTAAAAAACAAAAAGTCTCTTAAATTTAATTAATTTGTCATCAATTTTCATTTGAAATCGTGGAAAAAGGGGGAAGATCATACATTTTAAAAATAAAAATTTTGAATCCAGACTCGTCTTAATTTTCCTAATTTGAGAAATGAATGTTATGGCAATAAATGATTTTAAATAGATAATGCGATGGACAATATTCATCGTTTGTATTTAAAATCCTTCATGTTGAAGTCTATCATGGATTTCTATAATGGTCCTTGGCAAAAAAAATCTTAATTATGAGACGACACACACTTACTCAATCAAGCAAATCATTAATTATATCTGATGATTTTCATTATTTAAATCAAGCATTCTGCAATATCAAATGTGTTTTAAAACATTTTAATTGAAATTTTCAATGTGAATTTATCAGTCCCTAAAAAAAAATTTCGCGAAATCATTACAACATTAATTATATTATACCATATTTTAGAATAATATGATTTCGAACAATTAATATCGTATGATGACTAATTATTGATATTATTGTACGATGATTTCTAATATTGTACGATGCGAGTAATATTAATTATCCAAACTAGAATGATCCTTTATGCGCGAGAATTCTCTTTATCTAGTTCTTGTATTACTACTTAACCTTTATCTTTTTTATCATTTTCCATTTTTCATCATATCTTTATTACAATTTTTCATTATTTATTTTGCTTATACTTATCTATGGTAAGATAGGATATTTGCATGAATTTTAAACGAGGAGTTCTTGTGGAACAAGTCTTGTGATTGACCAATAATATAAGTCATGAAATTGTCTTTATTTCTAGTAGAATTAAAAATCAAATCTATTAGAAATGAAATAAGAATAAAAATAAAATTTAAGTTTGGGAATATTTAGTTATTTCTGAATATATTGTAGTTTATTAGCTAATAAAATATAAATAAAAGAAAGAAATTATGAATTTTTTAAAGTTTTGACAAATGAATCCGACATAAAGCTAATTGGTGGCGTAATTTATACTTTTTGTATCACTTGATTCTTTTTATCAAAATATTCACTAACCTTTTTTCGATTGATGATTAATATCCTCATGTTTACATTACAAGTGATGGATTTCTTTTAATTTTGGTGCACTTATCTCTCGATATCTGTCAATTACACATCAACGAGGTTATCGATTCAGCGTCAATGGATTGCTTTTGAATCGTAAGATAATTTCATACCTATTTATTAATGATATATTAAACAAATATGAATATGCTTAAATATTGTCAAACAGTTTATTGTCACAGAGAAATATCACTCGATTAATTGCTTACTAAAACATGTGCATAGTTAGTACCATAAAATTTACCATAAATGTTTTACTGTTATAATTAACCTATTTAAACTTTCCAATTACTTGACCAGGAGGACCTATATTTCCACATCCAATTCCATCAGAAACGATGAATTTTCCAAGATTACACTCTGCTAATCACATTATCATTAATGTAAAGACAGATATGGGAATGACGAGTACAATTAACCGATCAATTGTAGGGTAAACAAATCCTTAAGGATTTTCATTACCTTTAAACCACGGGATGTATCAATATCATCTGATGCATCACCTGATATTTTTATTACTTGTATGTAATTATTTAAGTTTTTTTGTACACCCATCAACAACAACTTTAGTAACCAGGGATCATAAAACTGACAAGATGACCGTTAACATCAAACTTTACACTAACACTATTAATAATAATTTGATGTAATCTCTGTACCATGTTCTGCCTGGGTGTAAGGAATGGTGAGAATATAAGTTGAAATGTCATAATGTTCTCGTGAAAAGGCACGATGATTGTGAATCATTGATTTTTTTATTTTTTTTTATTAATTTACCGACCAAAAAAAAAAATTTTTTTTTCTTGGAAGTTAACAATTGAATTTAATTCGGAATTTATTATAATCCAAACTAGCTTTCTTTATCATAAAAAGATCTATAATTATAAATCCTGTCCGGAATTTGTTTTTCCGCAGAGCCGTCTACAATAGATATAAATTCGGATCAATCCGATAAATTATTAATTAAGGATCAACCTCCATATATTCCAGGTCTGGAATTTTTTTTTGTTATTGAAATTTGTGACGAGTTCTTAGAATTAAGTTTGCACATGTATTGCAAATTTTTACTCACATAAAATAAAAGGCGACTTGCAATATTCTAGTATGAAAATCCAAAAGATCGAATTTGACTGGTTTTATTAAATCATTTGAATTTAAAAGATCGTCTATATCATAAAAAAAAAGTATTTTACTATCAATATGACATTTGTATTATCTAAATATGGAATGTTTGTTATATTATATAAATCAATTACACATTTATAAAAAATATTTCACGTGATTTCAAAGGATGATGCAAATCATTACTTTAAACTAACTCGTTTCAGACAAGTTCATTCGTATACCTTTTGAAGGTTGGGTTTTAACTATTTTTAATAATTGCAATGTTTAATTTAAAAAGAAATTATTTCAGCAATAAACATGATTTAGAAATCTTACACATTTTAGAATATTAAATTAAAATGTTAATTTATATTTAATTTTGAAATTTACTAAATTGGAATGGAACAAGCCTACAAAATTTGAAATACTTCATAATCCTCTATTGAGAATTTTGCATCTGTATCCCTTATATTTTTTTCATATACATCTTTACTGCAATAATTAATATCAAAATCATGATCTTCACCATTAAGATTGGCTATACAAAGATCATGATAAAATGAAGGACCGCAATTCTCATGATACAATATTGCGTAATCTGCATCAATCACATGACTCAAAATTGAATCTTTAAAATCCTTGGACTTGAATGAAAATATAAAACTATTACTTGTTTGGGCACATTCATATGTATCAGATTTCTCCCATATCAAAGGATTATATCCTCCAAGAATTTCTTCCGCTCCTTCTACTTTGATGAATGTTACAGTACGAGGTATATCCTTACATAATTCATGGAACTTTTTAGGTGTGAATCCATCTCGGCTTCCTCTTAATAATAATTTAAATTTACATGGTAAATGTAAATACAACTCTCTTACATCTACATCATCAATCCACCTTGAAATTACGGAAATAATATTTGAATTGACAATTTTTGTATCAATAAATCCATCGATATATTTACGAGTAGGAAACGAAACATTAATAGTTGACGAACTATTAGGATCTAAATAAGATCTTAATAATTCTTCATAAAGTTGAGGTTTCAAAAGTTTTTTATATGGATGAACTTTTTGAAAAAATTCTTCAGATGACATGCTAAAAAATCTAATTAAAGGAATAATGTGTTGTAAAGTGGTTTCCATTCTTTTGAAATCATCATCTGACCAGGTCATAGGATCAGAATTGAGATTGGGATTCTTATCAAGTCCCCAATTTAATACATGATTCCAAATTCCAACTTCCTTCATTTGTACATCATCCCTTTTAATGAGTGAAATTAAGGTAATTTCAGGAAGCGAAGCAAAATCAAATGATTTAAATACTATTTCTGGTGATTTGACCATATAATCTGTACAATACTGTTGAAGTAACATCAATGAATTAGATTGAGAGCTCATCCTAAAAGTAAGTTCGAAATGTTGTTCAATCCATTCAACTTTGTTTTGGATAAAATATTTTTGTAAATATTCCACAAACTCTTGAAGATGAAGTTCATCAGCAACGGACAGTACTTTTAAAATATCTGAAGCTTCATGTTCATTTAATAAAATAACCCCACCATAAATGTACCTATATAATAAAAAAAATTAGAAACAAAAAATTGAAGCGAAAACACGGATTTAAAACCACTTACTTCAAAATGATTTGAAAGATTTCTGGTGAAATTTTTGGTAAGCTAACATGAGCCAGTATTTCATCCTTATTGGAAGTTAAAGTTCGTCGGAAAAATGGGGAACGGTAACACAAAATGACTTTATGCGCACGAAATCTTTTCACATTTGGGTCTTCTCCCACTTCAATTGTAATATCATAAAATTCATCATCATTTAACATTTCGATAAAATTTTGGCTTAATTTAGTAAAAAATTGTGCAGTCATTATTTTATAATAATAAAATCCTTGAAGTTTAAATTTAACAAAAGTTAATTTTTTACGTTGTTCCGAAATATTGTTCTATTTATATTGTTACAGATAAAATACTAAAATCGAGAAGTCGATTTTTCGGAAACTTTCGGTGATCATAATTTTCTATTTAAAGCAATATTTATATTATTATTAATTTAAAACCTGGCCTATAAAAATGAGATGGACGGTAATAAAAAAAAATCGGATTATAAACTCATAATTGTTAGCTTCTATTAACTCTAAGATCGTTTATATTTTCACAACAATATTTATAATGAATTTGAAGTAATTTTAAAATTAATTCTCTGTCAGTTCAGTCATTATAATTTGCTAATAAATTAATGTGTTTTTTTAACTTTTATTATCGTTATTTAATTTTTATAAATTTGATAACCTAGTTTACAACTAGGTAACATTAGCATAAATATTGCAATTTATGAAATTAATATATTTGAAGTTAAATGAAACAAATTGAGAATAAATGCTTGCGAAATATATCCTTGAATAATAATACTTATTAAACATATACATATATATATATTATAATTATATCAAGAGTTCATCAGGAATCTTGTGTGTGTGCACTTTTTAAATATTTACATTATTATAATTAATAAAGCTCTCGAACAATATAAAATATTTGTTTTGTTTAAAAATATGATTTAAATCATAGCCTTCACGTCAAGATTTTTAATAAAAAACATTTGGAAGGAAGGCCTATACATATCACTTTTATGTATATTAGCAAAGAAGGTTTTCAAATTTCATAATGAACATCTATTAATGATCTTGATTGAGACCTTAAAGTTATTAAATGTCTGAGTCAAAATTTAAAGGTTTCCGACAAAGGAATCTCTTAAAGTCTCGGGAAACCTGTTACTCAACAAAATGTCATTTCCTGGCAAGATTATAGGAAGTATCGGATTTTAATTTGAGTTTCGCCTAAATTACAGAGTTTAGGATTTAAGTATCAGACATTTCATAAAATCCGTAATGTTTATTTGGATATGTCGTTTAGCCCTAAACATTAAGTTCATACATTTTTTAATTTAAAGAACGGAAAAGTTTAAAAAGTTTTTTTAAAAGTGAAGCAATGCAGTAATATTTTCACGATTACGCCCAAAGGCTTCCCGTAAATAACTATTACGTATTTATTGTGAATGAGGTTTTTTTTATGCAAACTAATTTATCATTGTTTTTAAAATGGTTGTCTACGACATTCCTAAGAAACATTTTGTTAACTTCTTTCAAATTATATAGATAAATGGTCAAAGGAAAAATGATGAATTGTAAACGGTAAAAGAAAAAGAAATTGATGGATTAAGGATTGGGATCGATTTAAAAATTAAAATCACAATTTTAAAGCGAACCAACGAAATAATAACAATTATTCAATAAAAAAAAGAAATATTATTTGCCAACAAAAAGTTATCTGATAATTACAAAATTGATCATAAATATCAATGGAATACTAGCACATACTGCGTCACTTAAAATGGATTTGATTTTTTATTTTTTTATTTGGTTCAACACCAGTTTATTTACCTCGATAGCAGTTAAACAGATCCCGCAATATATATATAATTCTAAAAAGAGAATTTACTTAATTGTTCGCAACTATTAAATTAAAAAAAAAACTATACCGAGATAAAGATCGAGTGCTGCGAAAAGGTACCAAATTGCAAAAAAAAAACTTATTTTAAAATAATTAAAGTTCTGGATCAAAAAATAAAAGTTACATCTAATTTACTTAGGATTAAAAATTTTCAATTTAGCCCCTTTTCGCAGCACTCACCCTTTTTTATCTAATTGATATATATACCCATCAATTATTACTTACTCTTGTTTAAAAAATAAAACATTTCTTCTTTTAATTTTTCCCATTGATATACTAGGAATAATTAATAAAATCCTCTCTTATTGAATATTACACAAAAATAATCCATTTTATATTGATCATTATTACTATAAATCACATAGTCAATACCATCAGCTTCCATGAAACTTTCTTTGGTATACAGCTCTACTAAAATTCTTCGCACTTTTCGCTGATTTATCGGATGGTGCAAAGCTTTTCTGACATTTTCCCGACACATCGGGTGAAATTTAATCTTGTGTATAATTAAAGTTTAAAGTATTTATTTTGATTTCTTATAATCCTATTTCATACAATCACCATTGCTTGATACTTAAATGAATTAATTATAAATAAACCTACTGTTACGTTCATATCATTATTGTAAAGTACTAAATGCAGTTAATATTGACAAATAAATAATCTTTAATTGATGGACTTTACCAAAGGAATAATTTAAGATACGAAATTTATCCTGAATATTTTAATAAATTAATATATATAACACTATAATATGTTCATCCCGCAAAATATAGAACTACTGTATATCATTATTTTTTCGAATTAGTCATGTGAAATATAAACATCGAATGGAAGAAATTCAAATAAATTTGTTTTGACCAAGAATAAACCCCTTTATCCCAGTTTTATTGACTTTAATCTATATTTGTCTATTCGTCCTGGATATACTTGTCATGTAATAATTAAAATAGTTACATGTATTTTAAAAATATATATTACTAATTTCTATATAAAAACAAACGATCCAATTTTCCAAAATGATTAATTAAATTTACTGGGATGAACTTAAATAAGAAAATACTTAAAAATTAGTGAAATCTTTATAATCTTTTTGAAAATAAGATTATTTTGTTATTATTTTATGTTTTACCTATTTTTGAATATTTAGTATTTTTAAAAGCTTTTCGTTCATCTCTGAAAATTCATCAGATCCCCATTCATTATTCTTAATTAAATCATTAACTCTTCCACATACTTCATCGACATCGACATAATAATGACTGTCAAAATATTGGACATATTAGTGTGAATTGCAAGAATAACATTTTGCAATTAAAAAGACCAAAGACAATGAACAAAAGTGGACATACATTACATCAGGAAACCAGGATTTCCAACGCCTTTGATGTGGAAGTAAGTATATTAACTCAATTTCTGCTATAATCTATATTTAAAAAGAAAGTAATTATTAGTAAAACATTCATAAAGATCAGAAATTATAATATTCTAGATATCATACCCTCGCTTTTTGTAACAAATACGAAACTTTGTTGTTATCTTTTTCAATCTCGATATTAAGTAACCCGATCAACAAATTCATGAGATATATGACAACGATGAAAGAGAATGCAACCATCAATATGACGAGCGTTTTATTATCTTTATAAGGCCATGGGGTTAAAGCACTTGCATCACCTATAATGAATTGGATCAGCTATGGTTTATTAAATATTGATTCTAATAAAATGTTTCGAACATACCTGTTAAAAATAAATATATCGCAAAAAGGGAGGTACCATAATCACTAAACATGTTTGTATTTTCATCAGGGGCTTGAATACTGGATGGTTTAGGATCAGTTAATCCTTTTTGATCAGGATTAGAATAAATCGTCGTAATTTCCCAAGGATCCTCTAAAGATAATAAGATGTAAAATGCATGTGCGAAACTAATTAAAATGATTAATAAAACCACCAAGAAAGAGTATATTCGTTTTGCAACACTAATAATAATCGCAAAATAGACACCATAGGATTCAAATACTCTAAAAAATAATAAAAATTTCAAATCTAAAAATAGACACGTGATAGAAAGTAATGGAAGGTTTTTATTATCCGTTTGATACCAATAAATAGAAGCACCGATTGTAAGTAAATATGCTGTTATATCTATAATAAATAAGGGTTAATTATATATCTTGAATAATTAGTTGCTGCATTTAACATACCAAATATATTCCAAAAATCACGAATCCATTTGAAGGGATTATAAATGAATTGACGAATTTCAAAAGTTAAATGAATAAATCCAAGAATCGTTGAGGCAAGTAATAGCTGTTTTCTAATATCTTGAGATATAAATTTTTCAGAAACTGTTGCAGCAACAGTAAAGCATCCAAGTAAAGCAATAAATCCCATCCATATAATTGCGTAATAATATTTTCCAAATGAGTTCCACTTGAAATTAATTAAAGCTTCTCCATTCAAAGTTTTATATATCTCTCTAGATATGGTTTCTACAAATGGACTAGGTTGAGGTATTATTAATTCCCTCCACCAACTATAATCTTGTGGATAACTAACAAATTTAATATAAGGAATCATAAATGTAATTACGGGTTTGGATTCATTAAAAAATAATGAAGAGATTACATTAAAAATTACATAAATAAGATTATGCCAAATAGAAAAGCCATCAAACGACGTATGTAAATATATTATTCGAAAATAATATAAAATCTGACAGATCGACAAAGTAATAGGTAATATTAAAAACCCGATTATTAACTGAATTATAATAACTGTAATACCTAAATAATATCTACTATATATTAAAGAAGTATATCTAAACCACCAGATGGACCGTGTAAAATTTATAACTTTAATATGTTTAGAAAAAGGAAAGAGATACATATGTTCTACTTGTTCTACTTTATATTCCACGGAATCTATTATCAAGTTTGTATCCAATGAATATCTTGTAAGATATTCAGGATAATATGTCTTCAATAGCGGCATTAACGTAGTAATTATACTCAAAAACATCTTATTGTTTTCTAAATCTTGTTTAAAATAATATAAACATCTTTTATAAATATCAGATATTAATTTTAAGTCACGAACCTTAATTACAAACATTAATAATTCACGACCATATTTGTAAAAACCTATTTTATCATCGTTTACATATGAGACCCATCCATTAATTAGTTTCTTATAATCGGACGAAAGCTCGATAAGTTGTGATTTTTTTCCGAAATATTTGTCGAAACTAATTTTCTTCGGATAATATATATAATGAAAATAATTTAATGTAACTTCATCATTTTCACTTAAATTGAAAATAAAAATGCCAATATTAGTTAATATGGCAATATCGTTCTTTTCGAATATCTCGACTTCATTTACAGTTAACACTTCTTCAAATTTATACTTTTGAAAATGTTCAACAGCTAGATCCCATTTATCTCGCTCACTAATTCTTTTGTGAACACGTAATCCAATAATTCCATTTTTCGCTATAGCCTCTACATAAATATTATTTAATTGAGATTCCATATCAAAATATCTGTCAGATAATGGATCAACCTTAATATTTGGAATAAACGGATTTTCATATTCATAATCATTAATAATTTTTTTTTCTTCAACTTTTTCGCTTCCGAAATATGCCATCCAATTTTCTACATCTTTATAAATTTTTAATTCCTCTGATGAAGAATAAATATCTAAATCCAATTCAAGTTTAATTTTCAGAACGGAATCGTTTACGATTACAAATAGATGGTTTTGAAAAAATAGAAGTGGTAAATTCTCCTTTACTAGCAAATTATCTTTCGTTAATTGATCTAAGAAAAAATTCCAAGTTTTATTGGTCCTTAATAACGGATCTTTCGTTATTTGATTTAAGCAAGAAATCCAAGTTTTATTATTCGACTTACAATCAAATAAAGAGAGTAAAGAAGAATGTGAGCCAGTATGTTGATTCATAAATTGATATAGTCGCATGCCTAAAAACGAAATGATCTTATGTAAATAATAAAATATTGACATCTTTGCATTAATTTGAATGAACATACCATCATTTGAATCCAATGACGCAATAAGAATGTCCAATTCATTCGAATAAACTATTATTTCATCATTTATCTTAATACAAGTAAACTTATCATTACTAGAAATTCTAATATCTTTCATTTTAACCTTTTAAAATGTACAAACATTATTAATTTGTATTTTAGTTTTATTTAATTTTTTTAAAAGAAATTATAATTACCCCGTGTATGTTTTTAGAAAACATTTTAGTATTACCAGTTTCAGTATTAAATTCATATATGTAGTTCTCCTTACGTAGCCAAATTTCATTTTTTGGTGATATAAGAATTATCTCTCCAACAGGTGGATTATAAATCTTTTGACATTTCCATTTGGTTTGTTTTGAATAAATAAATATAGAAAATCCATTATCGTTTACCCATAAAGTTATAATGAACTCTCCTTTTGAATTAAAGTTAAATGACGATAATGACGATCTCGCTAGATACTCCAAATTAAAAAACTCAGGCAATCCTATTCGATCCTGATATTTCATATCAATCATTTCTAATAAAAAAATATGTCATTAATTATTTATAAACGAAAACATTTAATTATAAATACCTACCAAATCGCTCATCTGGATCGATCGCTACTATGTTTTCGTCAGAGACGCACAACTTGTTAACCTTATCAATAACGCAATATGGTTTAACTGTATCATTTAATTTTCCTTCTTTGTTGTCTTGAATATTCCATCCGACAATTTGTTTGTCATTATGAATATACTGAACAATATATTTTGCATTTGGTGATATTGCTACCAAATCATAGCTAGTATCTATTTCGTCAAGTGATTTGACTTCATCTTCTTGTACTATATCGGGTTCGGAAATGCTCACACGCGTATCAGGTATGTTGTCCATTTCAGGAATAAGAAAATAATTATTCTTTATACTCAAGCTCAAGTAATTTATATATTTATTTTATAAAATTTTTATTTTTATTTTTATTTTTTTTTTTACGAATAATAAATCTTCCTTATATATTTAGTCATCTTATAAATGAAATTAAAATAAGCCTAAAGCTGTAACGGGCCGGTCGGCAAGCACGACGGAAGCGTCAAGCCCATAGAACTAAGGCTTTTTTGATATTACTAAGCCCGATAATCATTATCGATAGCAAACTTGGTTTTAAATTCGGTTCTACTCGATTTCGAATATATCCGGTCCAAATTTTAGAGTTAACGCAAACCGTTTGTTGATTAAACCGATTGAAACCGGTAGGTTTTATGAAAAAAAACGAAATTCTGATTTTTGATTTAATATTAAAGTAGTACATAGTTCCTAAAAATAATCATCATCATCAATAATTTTTCAAAAACGATGAAAACCGATGAAAACATGATTAAAACCCGGTTGCAATCACTTCAGTTCGGGCCGGATATCTTGCAATCGAATTACAGTAACCGGTTCAACTCCGGTCGAAATGTAATTTTCGGCCAGAATTAAGAATGGGAGGTTTGCTAGGAAAATGGGGCTTTGAGCATTTTTTATTGCATTTTAATTTTTGATAAGCAATAAAAATTAAAATTTTAATAAAAAATGCTCAGAGCCCCATTTTCCTAGCAACCCTCCCATATACAGTGCATTAAGAAAGTCTTTAGACAACTTCAAACGTTAATAATTTCAAAACGTCTGCGCCAAATCACGTGAAAAATAAATCGTTAGAAAGCCAAAAGATATAAGTTTTATTATTTTTATTTACAAAAATTTAATATGGAATACGTTCCCCATTTTTTTCAATTACAAGCCTACAACGCTCCTTCATTGATCCCACCAAATTCGCCAGAATGCTTTCCCTTGACAATACTCCATAAATTTTCTATAGGATTTAGATCAGGACTATTAGAAGGCCAATCTATTACTATTGGGGCATTTTTTTAGAAACGCTTTAGCCACTTTACTTTTATGCTTAGGATCATTATTATGTTGGAACTGCCAGCGACTCCCAAGCTTTTTTTTAATTTCAGAAAAGTGTTTTTTTAAAATTTTAACATAAAACGAACCATCCATTATCCTTTGGAAACAAAAAAGACTTGTCCTCCCTTTTATCCAAAACCCGCCCCAAGCTAAAATTTTTTTTATCTTTCAGAATTCGTCGTACCGGCCGTTCACCTTTATACCAATATTTTACCGTATTCCTAAACAACTGAAAAGCTGTTTCATTAGAAAATACTGTTCGGTTCCAATTATTATTGAGATATTTTTCCGCCCACTCTACATGTTTTTGCATGTGTTCTTTAGTAAGCATGGGTGTCACCTCCGCTCGGTTTTTTTATAGCCAAGTTGGCTTAAATGATTCCAAACGGTTACATGAGAAACCTGGACTTCTTTTTTTAATCACAGGTCGAACGCTGATAAATCGGGTACCTTTCTGATTGGTCACTATTTTTTGATTAGCAATCAATAGATAGAAATCAGTAGATACTACAAT